CGTGGACCAGGTTACATACCTCGGCAGTACTCTATCACAGGCAGTCAGTATCGACCAGCAGGTGAACACCAGGATCGCCAGAGCCAGTGCAGCTTTTGGAAGGCTGGGGTGATCAGCCTTCAGTGATCGGCTGGGAAAGATCCCAGGTGATCGGATGGGAAAGATCAGGGGTGCAGTGCCAATTTTATAGGTGCCGGAGCTCTGGTGAACCTGGCAAAAGCCTGTCATTTCCTATCCTGCTTCAATATATGTTACACGATTAAGTATTTCGTGTTTGTACTCACTAATTATCATAAAATATAATTATCAAACAAATAAAGACAAAACATCACGTATTTATCAATTAAAACACTTAGTGCTCACAAAATACAACCAGTGAGAAGTTTGACAATAGTGTCCACAAAGGGGTTTGACACAATAGTGTCCAAAGGGGCCTCGTAGCCTGGTGGATAGCGCGCAGGACTCGTAATTCTGTGGCGCGGGTTCGATTCCCGCACGAGGCAGAAACAAATGGGCAAAGTTTCTTTCACCCTGAATGCCCCTGTTACCTAGCAGTAAATAGGTACCTGGGAGTTAGTCAGCTGTCACGGGCTGCTTCCTGGGGGTGGAGGCCTGGTCGAGGACCGGGCCGCGGGGACACTAAAGCCCCGAAATCATCTCAAGATAACCTCAAGAAGAAGGGTCAGATGTGAGATGTTTCCGGGAGTGTGAAGCACCTCTTGTCCCGGTGTCATCTGCTGACCTGTGGCACCGGAGCCATGATATTTGGCATATGGCTCAGGAGGCCACTGACCTAGAGGAGGTCCATGTAGTTTAACAAACATAAGCGTTGATACATGATTTATGAGAATTCTTGAGCGTGTTGTTATTATTATCAGGTTCATGTGAGTGAATCTCCTCTCACACTCAGCAGTACTAATAGGAATAACTTGTAAACAGCTCAGTAATGGGGTGTAAATATTGGGGGATGCGGCGTCCATGATCCTCCACATTATTTTGGTACAACAATATTCTACTCTAGAGAGTACTGGCGTAGCTAGTGCTCTCTAGAGTGGAATATGTTGCACAATGATAGCCCCTTTCAAAGCTGGAGAAATTGCTGACCTGGAGAACGTGTAGAGATCCTTTACTGCTAGAATGCACTCAGTAAAACATCTAAACTATTGGGGCTGATTAAAAGGCCTCAATCTATATTATCTTGAGCGCAGGCGGGATACATAATAATTTACACATGGAAGATATTAGAGGGGCTGGTCCCAAACCTGCACACAGAAATAACATCACATGAGATCAGAAGGCATGGCAGGATGTGCAGAATACCCCCGTTGAAAAGCAGAGGTGCAATAGGTACTCTGAGAGAGAACTCTCTCATCAACATCAGAGGCCCGTCACTCTATCTCCTGGCCATTAAGCAAACGTTGAGGTTATTCAAAATGATGCAATGTGAGTCATAACATAGGGCTCTCAGATAGACTAAAATACTGAACCTAAGACTAGAAACCAAGCTAACGTCGATGAAAATAAGGGTAAAAGGGATTGCTGCGTGCATGCTGACCAAGATATTGACTAGACATTGAATCAGTTCACTTAAAGATATAATCACTGGAGCACTAACTCTGGACAGAAGAGCCTCAAATAACAACAGGTGGACCCATTGTGCGATAAACACTATCAATACATTCGATATAGCAAATACAGTGTCGACGAAATAAATGCAGACTTCGTTATGCAAGCCCCTTGGGAATCTCTGCCAGCAGACTTAAAGTTAATGGCTCTTGAAGGAAAAAAGAACCAGACTAATCCTCATCTGCTACATAATATTGCACAGATGCATATAGAAGCAAACTTGGCATCTGACAGCTTCACTTACTTCACAGATGGATCAGTAGACCAGCAGGGACAAGAAACCGGAGCTGCAGTTAAAGCAGGAAACTAAATAGTTGGAGACTCTCAAATGGGTGTTCAACTTTACAAATAGAGATGCTAGCCATTCAAAAGGCTTTGGAACATGCTCTTGCTGAACACCGACAACATTTTATCATACATACAGATTCGAGAACTGCCATTGAAACCTTGCAACAAGAACACATACGTGACAACATCCATCTGATCACAAATGTCATATCATTAACGCAAACACTCAAACGTCAAGGCCGACGGGTACTTATCAACTGGGTGCTCATGTCATGTGGATATAATAGGAAATGACATTGCAGACGAAGCTACAAAACTTGCTACTAAGAGAAGAAATATAGACATTTACATACCACAGAGTCTTTCACAGATTAAGAAAGTAATTAGAAATAGAGCAATGAAAAAGATGTACAGTGACCACAACACAGCAGTTGCAACATCAGGCTCTGTGGGTTGGTACAATAAATCAACCAAATACGAACCACTTATTTTTGATGAAAGGGAGCAGTAGAACAACAGAAGTATACTTACATCGCATCAGGCTTGGATACCCATGTGCATGGGAAATAGGCTTACAAGTTCCAAAAGCATTGTGGAAAAATGCCCGACAGACCACTGGAACATTATCTAACACAGTGCACAGTTACAAACTCATTAAGATTTCAACTTAGATTCAACAGAGCAGAAGTTGTTAAACACATGGGACAAAATCTTACTGAAGCGACCATACGAGTCATAAATACTTATACTCCGCCCAAGTAAAACAGAAACAAGCAACACTTAGTGGGCCAGCCAGAGGCTTAGGGCCCGCGCAGGAATATCCCTGGAAAAAAAATCCAAAGGCTACCTGATCAACCAGACTGTTAGCAGCCGCGTCCAACAGTCTGGTTGACCAAACCATCAACCAGGCGGGAACGTTGATCCCCTAAATCAAGGCAAGGTAACCGCAAGGCAAGGCAGACCCTTAAAGCTTGGAGACCATCGATGAGGATGGGTCTGTCTGGCGCAGACGAGTTCACGCTGGAGCAGCCGCCTGCGAACAAAGGAGGCTGAATGAGGCTGCAGAGAAACGGTCTCTTCGCTAATCCCGGGCTGACGGCTCCCACTGTCGGGAGCCCACACATCCATGTCCCTACTGCGAACAGGGATTCCGGGATGGGATTAAACAAACCAGCCATCTGCGAACATATTCTTAAACAAACTAATGACACTGAGTGGTCTTCATCGACTTGTATTTCATTGTGTAATTTTTCTGTTATTGTTATGCCGTATGTGAACAATAAATCCAAGGTTGAGCAACAATCTCATCTCTTCATCGACTTGATGGACGAATAGCAAAACTGTAAACTTGTTAGATGAACAAAGGCATCGGGTGAAAGAAAATCCGCCTAATTGTTTCCGTCTGGGCCGGGAATCGAACCCAGGATTGTGAACCGCCGACGCTGACCGCTGGAACCCTTTACACCTCCCGTCCCTAGCACCTTGTCCACCTATTGAGTCTACATAATCTCGCTGCATATCTCATTCACTAGCTTGGTATACTTTTCTAAATATTAATTATACTTATATTAACTTCCACATTGGTACAAATTCTAAATGTATGCCTCAGCCACTAGTTTCTAGGTACATTGTTAAAATGATCTGATCTTTTTATACCTTACAAATTAATGTTTTAATATATATCTTAACTACTGTGTTAGCCTTAAGACTTGCAATGTGTTGCTGGCGAATATAAATCCATACAGACATTGCTATACGTGATGCCTTGAACATTTTTGTGTTTTAACTCAAACAAAATCAATAAATAAAAATTTAGTAACAATTCGCCCTTATGTAAGAGTTTGAGAAAGTTAGCCACGTAAGCAGTTCACTTTACAAGTAGGATGTGGTCTGAGAGTCTGAGAGTCGTCTTGAGTACATCACAGTCTTATAAACGCCGTAAGAAGATACGAGAAAAGATTTGTACGAGAGAAGTTACGAAAGGAGATTTGCTATTCAGCCACAGCGTTTCGGGCAGCTCCCCAACCTAACTCATCTACAGGAAGTTCTGATTTGTAGATAATAATACATATATATACACACAGAAAACATTTAGGATGTGAAGGGAAGTTGATCCGTGGAGAGTGCATGTCCTCACGGGAATAGAGTTTGCACTCGACCCGTTACGGATTAGAAGTCATTGTTAATGATATGGCAGTTTAATGTTAAGCCAGCAGGTAAGACGCACCAAAATAGTGGTATCTGCCGTCCCCTCGCCCGCCACTCTTCATGACTCAAGATTCACGCACGCTCTGAACGATACATCTGCACCTAGGGACGGAAATTTCATTATTTACAATTAACTCCCGCTATGGTAATACAATCCGCATCATCTTTACACATAATTCACGATCAGTGAAGCAAATAAACTAAATTCAATATCTACTTATCTCACCAAATGGTCTTCTGAGAGCTGAAGTATAACACAGAAGACAATCTGTTTCGACGCAAGAGTGAGCTAAAACAAAATAAACACGAAGATCAGTGAACATTTTACAGGAGCCTGGATGTTGCGGCGTCACTGGGTGTTCACGTGATCAGCGAGGGGGGGGGGGGGCGGGGGAGGGGGACTTGAAAAAGGGAGGGAAGAGCTGGGGGGGGGTGGCTCTAGAGGGGTGGGACTGGGTAAGGGGGGTTTCCATGGGTGTTCCTGGAAGGGGGTAGTCAGGAGTCCAGGGTTGAAGGAAGGGAGGTATACAAGGATGGATGGGGGGGCGTGGATGGGGTTTTGTTGAGGGGGGGATGGTGAGGGTGGCGGCCACGGGGTGTGCACGTGGACACGGCTGCGGCGGCCTGCCATTGGCTGGCCAGGCCGCGCCCCCCGCGCTCATTGGGCCTCTCCAACACCCGCCCTTTTCGTTCCGTCCCCTCGCACATTTGCAGTTGGTGGGAATTATTCTATTCAATTATACAACCTTCTGCAAGTTAATAAATCCAACTTTTCTCCAAAATGGGAAACTACCTGACATATTGGATCGATCGCCAGAGAAAAAGCCGCAATTAAAGCAGCGGACGAGGGTGAAAATAGAGGAAAAAGTGGCGGTGGATGGCGATATCGGCGTGGACCAGCCGAGGGCCGCTGGCCGCAGAGGGCTGCTGCTCACGGCTTCAATTGTGACCTGCAGAGTGAGGGCGGCGGGTGTGTCAGTCTCCCTCTAGTGCCTCCAACACCTGACAGTGCCACTCTTAGTGCCCCTCCAACACTCCTGCAGAGAGTGCGTGTGCCACTCTTAAGTGTGGCTCCCCTCTTAACACACCTCGGGATTATTCACTATACTCCTTCACCATGAAGAAACAAATTATGTTCAAGCACTCGTTACCTCAGTCTCCCTGCAGGGACCACAAGGTAATTAATGCTACGGTCATAATTGGGAGGGAGAAGTAAGGTGACAATTTGGTGATTAACGGTGAGCACTCGAGGATTAGCGGTGATGGTTGATGTAATTAACAGTGATTTTTTGTTTTAGATCGATCGGTTATTTGATGTAATTCAAATAGTGAATTTTGCGATTAAATCGGCGACAATAGCGTGACGTAACGGTAACAGTTTGTTGATTAACGGTGATAATAGGATGAATAACGGTGATAATTGGATGATTAACGGTGATAATTACAAAGGTTTTAATCGTATTGGAAGTGATAGGTTTAACCCAGCAAGTCTCGTGGCGGTAATTCTAACACGGTGTTCAATTTGTTGTGAGTTTGACAATGTGTTGCGATGAATATATGTACTTACGACGTGAAGGTAAAGGTGTGGGGGATTCTTTACTTTTGAGGCATCAGTTATATTAAGTTGTGACGTGACCAGAACACTGGTGAAGGTCTGTGACGTGAACAGAATACTGGTGAAGGTCTGTGACGTGACCAGAACATTGGTGAAGGTCTGTGACGTGACCAGAACATTGGTGAAGGTCTGTGACGTGACCAGAACATTGGTGAAGGTCTGTGACGTGACCAGAACATTGGTGAAGGTCTGTGACGTGACCAGAACACTGGTGAAGGTCTGTGACGTGACCAGAACACTGGTGAAGGTCTGTGACGTGACCAGAACACTGGTGAAGGTCTGTGACGTGACCAGAACATTGATGAAGGTCTGTGACGTGACCAGAACATTGGTGAAGGTCTGTGACGTGACTATAACATGGGTGAAGGTCTGTGACGTGACCAGAACACTGGTGAAGGTCTGTGACGTGACCAGTACACTGGTGAAGGTCTGTGACGTGACCAGAACACTGGTGAAAGGTTGTGACGTGACTAGAACACTGGTGAAGGTCTGTGACGTGACCAGAACACTGGTGAAGGTCTGTGACGTGACCAGTACACTGGTGAAGGTCTGTGACGTGACCAGAACACTGGTGAAAGGTTGTGACGTGACCAGAACACTGGTGAAGGTCTGTGACGTGACCAGAACACTGGTGAAGGTCTGTGACGTGACCAGTACACTGGTGAAGGTCTGTGACGTGACCAGAACACTGGTGAAAGGTTGTGACGTGACCAGAACACTGGTGAAGGTCTGTGACGTGACCAGAACACTGGTGAAGGTCTGTGACGTGACCAGTACATTGGTGAAGGTCTGTGACGTGACCAGAACACTGGTGAAGGTCTGTGACGTGACCAGAACACTGGTGAAGGTCTGTGACGTGACCAGAACATTGGTGAAGGTCTGTGATGTGACCAGAACACTGGTGAAGGTCTGTGACGTGACCAGAACATTACAGTGACGCTGTCAAGGGCCATTTGGCTGTTGTGTTCATCTCCATATAGCAGTGTGCAAGACTACGTCGATTATAGAGAGATTTTTACGTGATTAAGAGTGAGAAGTTAGGATAGGGACGCTTCACTACAGCTCAAACTAGGGTGGGAAAGCTTCACAGTAGCCCAATTAGGGTGGGGAAAGCTTCACAGTAGCCCAATTAGGGTGGGGAAAGCTTCACAGTAGCGCAACTAGGGTGGGAAAGCTTCACAGTAGCCCAACTAGGATGGGAAAGCTTCACTGTAACCCAACTAGGATGGGAAAGCTTCACCGTAACCCAATTAGGGTGGGAAAGCTTCACAGTAGCCCAACTAGGGTGGGAAAGCTTCACCGTAACCTAGCTAGGGTGGGAAAGCTTCACAGTAACCGAACTAGGGTGGGAAAGCTTCACTGTAACCCAACTAGGGTGGGAAAGCTTCACAGTAACCCAACTAGGGTGGGAAAGCTTCACAGTAACTCAACTAGGGTGGGAAAGCTTCACAGTAACCCAACTAGGGTGGGAAAGCTTCACAGTAACCCAACTAGGGTGGGAAAGCTTCACTGTAACCCAACTAGGGTGGGAAAGCTTCGCCGTAACCTAGCTAGGGTGGGAAAGCTTCACAGTAACCCAACTAGGGTGGGAAAGCTTCACTGTAACCCAACTAGGGTGGGAAAGCTTCACTGTAACCCAACTAGGGTGGGAAAGGGTCATCGCACCCCCAACTCAAAAATAAAAATGAGCTCTTGCTGAAAATTGACTAGCCGTTCTTGCCTATTTTAGGTTAAGTTAGCGACAAGATTCAGTACTCTAATAGTACTCTCACGTCACGACCCGTCTTAGAGTTCCAGCAAATGGTACAAAATAAATCACCCAGGTGTGTGTGTGCGAGTAGTTTACGATAAAACAAAAATGTCTTTTGTGTAAATCACCAAGAAATTAACACGTGATAGACCAAAGACAAAGATATGAATTCCATACGAACTTTAAATACAAGTTACGTTGTATATATGAAGGCAAAAGTTTGGTGAAGGGAGAGTTTAAATGGTACGTACTGAGCTCCGCGCCACACAAAGAGGGCCAGGAAGTGGTCCACTGTTGCCACACCACCCTCTTGTCTCTTGTATATTTTCCAGCTCCCGCACATAGCCAAGCGAATTGTTAATTTGTTAAGTGATGTAAATTCGTCTACGTATTTGTTCTATGCATGATTAAGAAAGATACATAATGTGTTTGAATTCAGGTTAAAAAAGAGGCGTGGTGTTGCAAGAGTGGTGACGTCACCGGTGATGGGAGGTGTGGCCGACCTGTACACGAGCGCTGCACATGTTGATCACGTGCTCTCCCCCGCTCCTCACACTTGCCTCTCTCTACCTCACTTAAGCCTGCACAGTTAAAATACCCATGTTATAAAATATTGTATATTCACGCTAAATGAATAGCATTTGAGTGAACTTGTAGGTTTGGAGACTTTAAACTTAACCATGAGGAAAAGAGAAAGAGTTGCCGCTTGAGATAATGGGAGAGACTATAGCCTCGGGGCGGACCAGGCGCCGTGCCGTCTGGCAGGCAACACTCACTAGGGCAGCCCCGGGCTTCAATCCGGGATCACCCGTGCGTAGAGTTGTTACTATTACCTCAATAGCATTTTGAGGAGAGAGAGGGTGGGTAGGGTTGCGGGTCGACCAGTATATGATACAAACTCAAGAGGGTTTCTGGGTTGTTGGTTTTAAGTATACATTATTCCTTCATTCTGGGATCATCTAGACATATATTTTGTTACGAAGTAATTCCCAAAAGTAATGGTACAGACTTTGATTTGATTTTTCAACCTTTGATTTGATTTTTCAACCTTTGATTAGATTTTCAATCTAACTTAACTGACCTAAACCAACTTGCCATTTTTTATCCCCTCATTTGAGGTTCACAGCTTTGGTTATACTATCTTCCCTGTAATATGGGACAATATTTGATCTATTTATTTGTTATAAAGTTTGACCACTCATATGTTGCAATGTTTTACACTAAACAATAAATCCTGCTTGAATATGTTGTATTAAGTTATCTTTCTCAGGTACTCATTCATTCTTTTTTTTCAGTTAAGAGACGTGAGAATATTTGGCTTGCAAAAACATGAAGAGTCAACTACAGCACTGAATTCATACCCATACTCAAGTTACAAACACACAGACTTGCAAGACTGCAAACGTGCAAAAGGATATAGGCACTCAACATTGGGAGAATACACACACACAAACCTAGAAGACCATAGTCGAAGAAACTTTGAAGAAAACGAAGTCATCACTCGGGAGGGACTAAGACAAGCCGGGTTGGAAGACTACATAAGCTCAGCATCTAAAGACCGTACACCATTGGGGCTGGAGAACAACTTCGGTCAGACAGGTGCCGAAGACCTGGAAGTTGTGGAAACCCTCCTTTCATTCTCACAACATGAAATGAGATGGAACGGTTCAGTGTGTGGGAGCGGCGTGCTGGATCTGCCCCCCTCGCCGCCATCCTCACACGGAGGCATCTCCCCTCGCCATCCCCTCGAGTATGACGTGGAGGAGTCTTGTGATCCACCTGTATTTACCAGGAAAAGAATTTTGAAAGAGCCAGAATTTGCCAAGGTAAATGGAGTAAACTCTTTATATTTGATATTGTAATGATTAAACTTTGCAATTAGACTGACGACAGTATAGGCTGTACAATATTTTTTTTGTTAGTTTATTATGAAGCCTATACCCATCCTGTGAGTAGTAGTAGTGGGAAATGTTGCAGAAGCACACAGTGGGCTCAAGAACTGAAACCCATAATTAATCTTTTAAGCAACAATTGGGAAATAACATGTAATTTACAATATAAGTTATGTCTGTAGCCCTTGTACCATTACCCACAGTATAGATACTGTATGGGACACATAATATATAAAATAAACTATTGCCTGTAAAAACAGAATATATCAGTCAGAATTAGACCTATATATATAAATGATATGTAGTTTTTGTACTAATTATTAATTTGTTCATATTTCAGATGTTCATGAATGAGACCCCGCCTCACACACCGTGTACGCCACCCCGCTCCCCCAGTCCTGCACTGTGTAGCTTCACCTCGAGAGCATCCACGCCTGGGTTGGTGTCCGGGGTCCCCGTCTCCGTCATCGTCAAAGCAGATAGATGGCAGCTACAGGAACCAAGATGTGAAAGAACCCGTACATTGGCAGAACGTAAAATGTACGATAACTGTGATTTTGAATACAAGGAGGAGGAAGAGGAAAAATGGGGTTTTGAGGATGAAAGCCAATCATTGTCAGTGACTCCAACTTACAGCAGCAACAGTGGCCAACTTTGTCCTCCTCCTCGCAGTGTTAACACGGCTCAGGAACAAATCTTTGTGCACAACAAAGACACAGATCGTGGAGTTAAAGGGGCAGCATCTGCCAGCGACAATAAGCGCTACATAGTACCTGTTCAACAACCTCCTCATGAAGCCACAAATAAAAATGCCTCGGTCTCTAGAGCACCGAGCATTAGCAATAAGCTTGTGGCAATTGCACCAAAGATGCCGTCTGTGATTCCAGTAAGCACTGGTAGCAAAGTATTTCTGGCACATATTAATGGGTCTCCTGCTGTAATCCCTACCACAGGTGCTGGTATTACTCACTTAATTGTAACCACTCCGGGAACTAATGGGGGTGCTGCTGTCTCCCAGGTTCTGTCACCGATCCTAGTATCGACAGCGGCATCACAAACTCCACAGGAAGACAGAAAAAGAGCATTTAAGTGTATATTTAAAGGCTGTGATAAAACGTACTACAAATCGTCTCATCTCAAATCCCATATGAGGTCCCACACAGGGGAAAAACCTTATCAATGCTCATGGGAAGGCTGTGAAAGACGCTTTGCCAGATCAGATGAATTATCCCGTCATAAGAGAACACATACAGGGGAGAAAAAGTTTGAATGTACTTCGTGCAACACAAAGTTCATGCGCTCTGATCACTTGGCTAAACACATGAAGAGACACACTCGCCGACGGATTGGGGTTCCCGTGGCTCCAAAAGTATCAACCTTGGCACCTGCTATCAGCTTCATAGCAGTGCCAAGTCAACCCCAGTGACCTGATCTCATCTCAATCACATAAAAAATAATGTCATTTAAATTGTGCTATGCTTGTGAGGATATTCAAGCAGCAAAGTATATAAGACCTGTACAGTAACTGGATATTACTATTGACTAACAAAAAACAAATATATATGTTTTCTTTATGATGTATGTTTTGTAATAGCCATCAAATTCTGTGGTTTAAATTGGGCTTGAAGGTCAAATGAATGCTTTAATTGATGATAAATATTTAGTATTAAAAGTGAAATATAATTTCATTACCGTATTCATGAGATTTTGTTGAATTATAAAGTTACAGTGGAGAAGGTCTGACACACTGCTGTTAAATTTATAATAGTTGAGGTACATGACTGAGCAGGTGACTTTTCTATACAATTCCAGTGTGGATGATGATGCTTGTATCATGCAATTTATATATTTATAAATGCATGCCAATCAAGTGAAAGATTACCTTATTTACACAAAAGAAATGTGGTTTGTATTTTTTGTATGAAATGTGAAGTGTAGGTGTAAAACATGTTTAGGTCAAGATTTTGCTGCTATTTACAACTTTTCGGTTTAAAATGGCCTCGTCACATTCAAACTTTTCAGTCCATGTCTATTGTGCTCTTCTAAAGCGTACCAAATTTATTGTGATAATATATATTTATTTCATGTTTACTGTTATACATGTGATTGAAATCACATCCAAAGATGTAATATTTTATATTCTTTATAATACAAAACCCTTATGGGATGAAAATAAAATTGAATTATATTAACCCCATTTAATTTACCTCTAAAATTTACGAAAAAATCAAGGTAGAGAACAATAACAAAAGTAATTAATGTAATGCTTGTATAGTATATAAATAATTAGTTAAAAAATATGATAATCAAAGCAAATATCCAGCAGTAATAAGTGCCTTGATCATCATCAAGATCATCTAATAAGTGCCTTGATCTGGCACTCATCTCTATGCAGTAATTCTAAATTTCTAAAGTGATACTATACATAAAGCTAAAACAGCTTGTGATAAAATATATCCAGTTGTAGAGATGACCTGAAGCATGTTGCTGATGTAAAAAAAAAAAAAAAAAAAACTGTCCAATGAAACAAACTAAGATTGATAGTCTTTTCCATTCTTTGTAGTGGTCAGTACTGGTGATGGGGCAGTGTAGTGGTAAGTACTGGTGGTGGGTCAGTGTAGTGATCAGTACTGGTGGTGGGGCAGTATAGCGGTCAGTACTGGTGGTGGGGCAGTGTAGTGATCAGTACTGGTGGTGGGGCAGTGTAGTGGTCAGTACTGGTGGTGGGGTAGTATAGTGGTCAGTACTGGTGGTGGGGCAGTGTAGTGATCAGTACTGGTGGTAGGGCAGGGGTAGTGGTCAGTACTGGTGGTGGTGGGGCAGTGTAGTGGTCACTACTGGTGGTGGGGCAGTGTAGTGATCAGTACTGGTGGTGGGGCAGTATAGTAGTCAGTACTGGTAGGGAAGGAAAAGAGCCCTTGTAATCCACTAACTTACAGCTCAAAAGACCCTGGGCATCAGAGGGTCTACCATAGGTCATCACAATAATGAAGATTATGAATATGAAGATGTGACCCCTGTTCTTTACCAAGAAAACATTGGGCATTAAACGTTAAAAAAATAAAAATCATTAATTAAAAATAGAACAGCAGTCTTCTTAAAAAAAAAAAAAAAGAAGTTGCTGGTTCAGAATAATTGATTAAAATTTAATTTCAATTTCATAAACAAAATATGTTACTTTATTCTGTAATTACAGTAAGTAATTTAATGATATACAGTAATTTAAATTCAAATGACTGAAGTATCTTGAGATAATTTCGGGGCTTTAGTGTCCCCGCGGCCCAGTCCTCGACCAGGCCTCCACCCCCAGGAATCAGCATGTGACAGCTGATTAACATCCAGGTACCTATTTACTGCTAGGTAACAGGGGCATAGGGTGAAAGAAACTCTGCCCATTGTTTCTCGCCGGCGCCCGGGATCGAACCGGATCGTGATCGGAATCAGAAGTAGAAGAGGAGCATTGTAAAAAAAAGAGGGCCTTGGAATGGGAGAATATATTAGAAGGGCCTGATATACGTATTCGAAGCCAACCTCAGTAAACGTGAAACTTGTAGAAATGCCTAAGGATTATTGGCAGGCGAGATACTCCTCATACAATAGATACATACATACAGAGATACTCCTCCTCATAGGGGAGCCGGTCGGCCGAGCGGACAGCACGCGGAACTTGTGATTCTGTGGTCCTGGGTTCGATCCCAGGCGCCGGCGAGAAACAATGGGCAGAGTTTCTTTCACCCTATGTTCCTGTTACCTAGCAGTAAAATAGGTACCTGGGTGTTAGTCAGCTGTCACGGGCTGCTTCCTGGGGGTGGAGGCCTGGTCGAGGACTGGGCCGCGGGGACACTAAAAAAGCCCCGAAATCATCTCAAGATAACAATGTTTGATGATGGTGCTAGACACCAATGTTTGATACTAAAAATAGTAATACAGTACATCATTACAAAACTACTGGGAAACAATTCTGGCAATGAGTACTTGCTTCAATCCAATATCTGTACAACACTAACCCTGATGTTGGGAAAAATATGAAAAAAATTCTTTTATAGTTTAGTTTTTAGTTTTACTTGCTGTAAAAGGAAATTTTGACATTCTGCAAAATAATTTTCAATTTAACTATTTGTAATAGATTTATTATATATTTCATGTCAATAAAATTCCTTGAAATTTTGCATGGAATCAATGGTTCGTAGCATGAGTGTCAATCATTGGATGGTGATGAACCAAATTATGGTGTTATCTTTTTCCCAAGGACCAGGAAGGAAACTGAGGCTTACAGGATTTTGTTTTTCCCAATATGGCAAACAATTGCCAGAGGTCTTGAGTCTCAAATGACGTCCACTTAGAATCTTTACGATTTTTGGTATATTACAGTGCACATCAAGTTTCCCACAGGCGATAGGTGCAGCAAACCCATATCACCAAGGATGACATGAGCAGTTTAAGGATTAATAACAGGTAGATACTATATATGATAGTGTCTTCCAGTTAAAATTAACGGATTAAAAATCCAATATACGCAAAATTTCTTTTATTAAACATGTTAAATCCAGTTAATACATATTATCACCCTCTTGGCTGAAGAAACTTTTTCTTTGTCTTCTTGTTCTTCCAAAGTACATGCCATCTTCCTCCTCCTTACTCTCTTCTCTTTCGTTCGGTTTGTCAAGGTCATCTAATCTCTTCTTCTTCTTTAATTTATTCTTCAGTTTCTGCTTTTCAGCTTTGGAAAGTTTCTTGTTAGTTGCTGTAAATAAAACAACAAGTTATTTATTTCACAGATCATAAAAGTATTATAAACAGAGGTCGGGCATCATACACACAAGGTAGGGACTAGGAGGGGAGCACACGTATGGCTGCGCTCCTCAAAAAGTATTCATAATTCGGGAGATCTGATTGATACGAAGGAAAATTGTTGCATAGTAATATTACAAAGTGTAACAAACAGATTAGAAAATAGCAATTTCAGGGATTGTGTCTGATAGTGCTAATTAGTCAAGAAACCAGGGGTACAACATCAGTGCCACAACAGGCACTATTGCCGCCACAGTTACAAAGTCACATTCAGTCAGTGTGTACATAGCTAGCTATGATGATGATGAATAAAGCAAGCTGTCAAAATGTGTAGCATTAGGGCTATACTGGTGCTAAGGGGAAAATGAAGCCAATTCCTAGTGATATATAGCAGGATGTAGGCGTGACCTACTGTCTGGCAGTGGCCTCAGTTCATCCTCAACCAAGGGAGGATGAACTGAGACCCACATGGAGAGCTAAGCTGCTGGACGTGGCAACAAGAAACTTTCTAAGCCATCAAGCGACCAACAAAAATGAGAGAAGATGAACCAGCAATGCCTGATCTGATATTCACCCTGAATGAGTTGGATATAAGAGAAGTTAAGTTGGAAGCCCCCTTGGAAATGAGTGATCACAGTGTATTGATATTTGAGTACCTTGTAGAGCTAGGAGTAATCTCCCCCCAAAAAGAACTAACAAACAAGGGGATGGTGTATCAAAAGGGAAATTATGAGATGAGAAAATTCCTAAGAGAAATACCATAGGACACAGAACTCAGAACTAAGACTGTACAAGACATGGACTATGTCACCAAAAAGTGTCAGGAGGCAGTAAACAGGTTTATTCTGGCCCAAAAGAAGCAAAAGAAGAATCCATGGTTTAATAGGACATGTATGGAAGCAAAGTTAAGGTTAACCCAAGCAAATGTAACGTAATGAACATAGGTGCAGGGAGCCGGAGGCCAGATACAAGGTATCATTTGGGAGACGAAATTCTTCTAGAATCAGAGAGAAAGAAAGATCTGGGGGTTGATATCATGCCAGAACTGTCCCCTGAAGCCCACATCAAGAGGATAACATCAGCAGCATATGCCAGGTTGGCCAACATAAGAACGGCCTTTAGAAACTGGTGTAAGGAATCATTCAGAATCTTGTATACCACGTACGTCAGACTATCCTAGAGAATGCAGCTCCAGCATTGCGTCCATATCTCGTCAAGCATAAAACTAAATTGGAGAAGGTTCAGAGGTTTGCCACCAGACTAGTGCCCAAAATGAGGGATATGAACTACAAGGAGAGACTATGGAAATTAAACCTCACGTCGCTGAGAGACAGTTAGGGGGACATGATCACCACATTCAAGATTTTCAAAGGAATTGATAGGGTAGACAAAGACAGTATATATAACACAAGGGGTACACACACTAGAGGACACAGGTGGAAATTGAGTGCCCAAATGAGCCATAAAGACATTAGAAAGAAATTGTTTAATGTCAGAGTAGTTAATAAATAAATGGAATGCATTAGGAAGTGATGTAGTGGAAGCAGACTCCATACACCATTTCAAGTGTAGATATGATAAGAGCCCAATAGGCTCAGGAACCTGTGCACCTGTTGATTGACGGTTGAGAGGTTTGACCAAAGAACCGAAGCTCAACTAGATGAGTAAAGAATATATTATGTAGTTGTGTGGGTGCCACATGTTAGATCATCCTAATTGCTGCAAATATGACTTTTAACCGGGTGTCAGTAGTGCTACCAATTTCGGCATTACAGTATTATACAGCAAAAATTGAAATACAGTACCAGGCTTCCCTTCTGTGTTGTTGAATACATACTGAGCATTCTCCAAGTTATTATTACTTTCCACGAGTTACACGCATCTCTTATATCATCTGGTGGAGTTCATTTGTAGATTTGGCTGTCAATGTCTTCTAGTATTTTACCATGGGGATGGTCATAATCTTTATTTGATAAGCTAATTTGATTAATAACAACAACACTACATTAATCATCAGTATTATGATTTTTTTCAGAGAAAGGTAATTCTAAATGAATAACCATCCATAAATACAACTTTGAATCTGAACTGAATTTAAAGCTTCACCACCTGCTCTCTTTTGTATGACAAAGCTGTATTTGCCATGATGAAGGCTCACTAGCAGCCTGTTGAGTTGACATCCAAAACGAAAATACAAAAAATAGTTCTGTGATGTCAATGCATCTATTTTGTCTATATCACCACTAAACCCAAGATAATATGAAACACTTAAGAAATGACAACAAGAAAATGATAACTTTTGTAAGTGTACAATTTTTAGGGATAGAAAATATAAATAATGTACTGTATCACACCTTACAATGAGAAGGACCACTTACGATATTTCATGGGAAAAGTTGCAGGAATCTTGAAGTGCTTGAGATGAAAAGGTGTAAGGACATGGGTGTCAATGGCAAGCCAAGGAGGTACACTATACTGTTTTGAGACTGGAGCAGAAGCTGAATACGACGAATGAAGATTAAATGTTTGCAAATGACCCTCCCTGCAAGACAAATTAACAATTATAAAATACTGTACACGTATTCTGTACATGAAATGAATGCACCTAAAAGTGTTCAACAATGAACACTTTTGATGTTCAATGAAATGAACAATGGCCTATAGAAACCCCCACTACATGGGGGTTTCTATAGGCCATTGCTCTTCATGCCTCTGAGGGGCCAGGTTCTGGCTCGTGGTCCCCGTTAGGCCTAAAGAACTCCATACACATGACTGATGCCAAAGTCTGACATTAGCAATATCAGCCTGGATAGCTCCAGGGAGCCAATGGGGCTCCCCCCAGAAAATAAATACATGGAAAATACTGGAGGGCACAGTAAAATAACAACATACTGGAGTGAACAATATGGAAGAAAATGCAGAATAGAATCAACGAAGAGCAGGGGTGCCATAGGCACAATCAGAGAACACTGTCTAATTGAAAACTTTATTAATGTCGGCTTGTAGTTTTCAATGTTTTCTACAAAAGTAATTTTCATGCCGATTTTTGTGTCGGCTGCAAAAGATGACACGAAGCTCACTGACCAGCTAGTCATCACAGAGAAAGAGCCAGGAAGAAAGTGATGTATGATCACCAACTGGGATTTTTTATAGGCACAATACTACAGAAAGGTGGTAGTGGCTACCAGGTGAGTAATGGCCATGATATTTTTGTGCAGAACTTATTTTGATATTGTATTTAATTGATTTCAAATACTGCTCTGGCGAGGTTTTGTAGTGTAAAGGAATGTACCCTCTGATGTGCATTCAGTGCTGGATTGAGATTTTGCCAACGTTTCCCTTCGTCCTTGGGCAAAAACATTTTTCAGAGCTTTCTACTGGCTAAGGTGATAAGATTTTCCTGGCCCTGGCATGAGGCAGCAAGACCCTACGAAGAACAGGGCTTTGGCTCGGAAAATGGACAGGTCTAACAGTAATAAAACTGTATGAATACAAGTACTTAACATGAATATGTGACAAAACTGAATAGACTGAACTTACTGGTCTGATTGTGTTGCCCTAAGCAGCTGGATAAATGCATTTGTATTAGGGTCATGATGAAGGAGATACTGTCCAGGTGACATAGTAGACATCACAGAAAACACAGAGTACAGAGTTGCGAGTGGTTGATGAGGCGAAAAGGCAATATGTGGTTGCTTTCCTTCCTTCAAAATTGTAGTTAAATCCTTTTCCTCCGTCATCATAACTTCACCGGTACTCTCACACACGCGTACTGAAATGATATTTAATAATTACTTACAAAAAAGTTTGTTCATTGTAGCTAATAAGAAAAATACATGTATGTACTGTACATGCCAATAAAGAAAAGGGGTAGTGCGAAAACTTGGATATTTAATAATGTGGTCCAGGTAAGTTTCCAATCAAGTAGTGTGAAATGTGATACACAAGTGGCATTATACTTGAACCTCAGCACTACGAATCTGAAGCGCTGTCCACTTAGCTGTCAGGCGCCCTCAGAGGCCGATCATTTGAAAACAAGTGGCAGACAGGTGGAATAAATGACAAGTGATTATGATTATCATAAGAAAGAACCCTAAGCATAGCTCTCCTTTAACTACTCTTGGGTAATTACAAACACAGATGATGGTAATCATCAGAACACTGCCACAAAGACCTCTACTGAAATACAAAAATAAATATTTAATACATTTTTGTATATCAAAGGCAACACACCTTGAAGGAGAGAGGTATTGGGGCGAACTAACAGCTGAATCCATTGGTGTGTTATCTCAGACCAAGTATTAACTTCACAGCCAAAAAATGCTTGGTTTTCTAGTTTGGGATATATAACGTATGCTTTAGTCGGTATCTGCAGGAAAGATAAAAAAAAAATGCATTATACATTTATTAAAATATTGTACTTTTCATAATTTATATTTTATTTACATTCCCAGTAAAATGATTAAACTAGATCTGTTTCAACTGTCGGTGGGAAATTGATAAAGGTGTTCCCAGCCTGGTAAGATTATTAAGATTATACTCAATTGTGGTTATCTGCTCTCTCAACTCCTCAAATGTTGCCTCTGGCAGTTTGTATACAAGAAAAAATTTCCTTAAGAACAATAGTTTTATGATCTTACATAATTGTTTTAAGTTTCTCGTCAAAACAACGAGGTACCCAAGAGACTGAATAGAGAAACACGTTAGAAGGAAAAGAAATGAAACAAATAAAATAATTGAACAGGATAGACCCATAAATTATCCATTTTGAGGATACCTAATTACTATTTGCATTAAAACCCAAGTCACACATTTTCATCAAATCACAAATAAGTTCACATATATATTAATTTCACCTTCTGCTGCTTATTCCTTGAAAGTCCATGAATGTTATGCCGAACAATGATCCGGAGTGGCTGCAAAGACTGGCTGGGTTTTCTACTGCTAAATCCAAATGAAAACAGCTGATAGTGAACATTATTTCCAGTCCAAGGAGGACACTCTTGAACCTGAAATAAGTAAACAAGGCTTTATGTAACATCAACTCCACTCCAAAGAGGACAATATTGTACAGTACTTGAAATAAAAGAACACGTGTGGTGGTGGGGGTAGAAATAAGAGACAGGAAGGTCAGATGGGAGAAGGCATGGAAGGCAGGAAGGTAGTTCTGAAGGGGATTGGAATGGTGAAGGGAGGGAGCCACTGTATATCAGTACAGAACTCTATATACAGTGTATATAGGTGCCACCTCACCGGGAAAGGCATCCATACCACTGCTGAGTGAAAAGAAACCAAAGCCACACAATCCGCTGAGTGAACCTCCCCCAACAACGTAAATGAACAATCAAATCTCTCAAAACAAGCGCGCACTTGTTCACCTCACCTCTAACACTTGTTTGGGAAGGGGATGGGACCTAGGCTCATGCTGTCTAATAGCTAGAGCAATCAGTGCTGGAGCAAATGCATGCAGACACAAAACATACCCAACTGACAACCTGGAAGGGAGGGAATCAGGGAGCCACTGGTGCTCACCCAGAAATTGGCATTTCATTACATCCAACGCTTGGTTTTTGGGAGTAGCGCCTTGTAGTCCACGGAGAAGAAAAACAACGATTCTCCAAAGAGGAGGAGGAGGAATCTCAGGCAGTCACGACGAGGCTGAGACAGCAGGTCGAGACACGACCCAAAGCAACACAGAGCAATGAGACCCAGGAACATGAACCAAGTACCGGGCTGCAAGTACCATGTGCAACAACCCCCCCAAAACCCCACACTTCCATATCAGCCCAGTACATATTAGCAAAAACAGCTGCAGGAGCAGCAAACTTACTAGCATTATGGGTACATGGGTAAACTGCAGGCTGGTTAGACCTAATGAAACTGTGGACACCCTGAGAGACACGAGCCTTGGAACAGGAAACCAAGGAAGCAGGAACCACCTAAAAAGTATCCACAATAAGAGAAACAGTGGTATGAAGGTAGCAGCAGAGCCACCAATGGGCACTACATGTGATGCACCCCCAGGCCGAACCAACGAAGCATCGATAACCAAAGGACCCCTCAAGAAGCCAGCCGACTCATTCTTTGCCAGAAAAGAAAGAGCCAGCTGCAAACAAAGTGCCCACAAGAGTCATGGGATAAAATCCACACCTCTGGATATGAACATGAAGTCCCCCCCACCCCCAGCCACTTGAGGCACATATGGCCCAGAAGAATCTGGCTCCACAGATGGCCTACCTCAACCAACAGCATCAGCAGCCCCAGCTCTACCTAACTGCCTCCAGGAACAAGAACAAAAACCATGTAAACACAACATGTCAGAAATTGGCCAACAGGAGACATCCTCAGAAGACAAGAATCAAGCAACACCCTCAAGAAAGAGACCTGCAATAAACTTAGAGCCAAGCACCTCAACGTCCTCGCACAGCTAATCAGAATGGAGCTCCATGAAGTCAAGAAGTCGGAAATCCAAGGACAGGTGAAAGCGAGCACAAAAGTCCTCTGCCCCGATGGCAGCCAACAACAAAGGCAGTCAGGCATGGAGCTGCAGCAAGCCTATATCCTGCAAAAGAGTGGGAGCAAACTGGCCAACCCATCATCTTGAATAATACATTGCATTTTTATGCATAAATCTCCAATAGCCAAAAACTTCTGTACTAAAAATGGTAGGTCGCAAAATTGATGTGATATTCTGTTTTCTATTCATGGGTCTTCAGCTAGGTTAGGTTAGGTAATTTAGTACCATACAATCCATCAGTTTAGTGACATCATGAACACTCAAGATAGGCAAAACAAACCCACTAACAGTAGCTGTCTAGTATGTATGAACTTTATCAGAAGGGTCAAAAGGTAAGGGGAGGAAGGATAGGAACTGAAAGGAAGGGAAAGGAAATTAAGGGAAGGGCACGGAAGAAACTTGAGGGAAAAGGAGAAAGTAATAAGGGAGGAACTGCACTTAGCTAGCCCAGCCTTGCCCTGCCAGTTCATAACACTTTGGCAGTCTGGCCTCTCTGCACGTTTCTGACTATAAATGTTCTGGGCTTCCTGAACTGCTCAGGGGCCACTCAGCGATGAGAAATTTTTTTACAATCATCTTACATCTTCTTGAGATCTTGAGATGATTTCGGGCTTTTAGTGTCCCCGCGGCCCGGTCCTCGACCAGGCCTCCACCCCCAGGAAGCAGCCCGTGACAGCTGACTAACACCCAGGTACCTATTTTACTGCTAGGTAACAGGGACATAGGGTGAAAGAAACTCTGCCCATTGTTTCTCGCCGGCGCCTGGGATCGAACCCAGGACCACAGGATCACAAGTCCAGCGTGCTGTCCGCTCGGCCGACCAGCTCCCTTTACATTTTCTAAACTACTGTATTTGTTGGATTATAACTATAAATTTTATGTAAAAATGTTTGCAAATGAATTATCTTGAGAACAGAGCAAAAACAAAAGTGTATTTTTAATAGATTATGCACATCAGCGATGAACATATGAATGTTAATGAATAGCAATCGGATGACACGTTTTAGCATCGTTGGAATATGAAAGCATTAATACCAAATTATAATGCTTGTGTATAAACACTCATACTACAGTATTTCTGATAAATAAATGCATGCAGAAAAATCCAATGAAATTATTTTATCCAGTCTTCTCATTTGGACGTCCTTAAGCATTCAGTGATTTGGACACATGGAGTTACATTGCATATTACATTGATACATATACAATACAGTACACAAAACTATACAATACTGTATTATATCACAAACCTGCATGTGTGCTGGCCAATTGGTATTCAGTGTATTCGACCATGGGGTTTTCGTAGGTGTTGTAGGAGATGCTTCACATTTCTCAGATTTCATAGTAGGAGAGTTTGTCTGTGTTGGCTTCAGCAAAGAATCTTGCATGCTAAGTAGCTCTTCTAAAACATTGTTGCCACTGTCAGATACCGAAGGCCTAATTTCTTGAGGTTCAATGGGACTATTGATCTTTGAAGAGCCAGCATTACTACAAAATTTTTGATGATTAGAAGCTCTTGTTTTCATTGGAGAAGCACTCTGCCTCATTTTCATTGCTTTATTGTTTTTCATCTTTGAGGTTCCAACGTCCTCACTACTGGTATTAAGGTCTACGTAAACACCTTTTTCATTATTTTTTGGTTCTTGTCCATCTTCACTTGACAAGGAATTCCTGTTTTGCTCAACGGAGTTCGTTTTATTTCGTTTCTTACATTCTGGTTTTTGCTGTTTACCTCCTTCTTCTTCTTCTGTACAATTTTTTCTCGAGCCTCCAGAATGCCTAGAGGCACTTGGCAGCCCAACTCCAAAAGTATCGTGATCGGCAGTAGACGTCAGATCAAAAATATCGTCATATTTTCTCTTCCCATCGTCATCTCTCGTTCTAGTATCACTGCACTCTTCATCCTTCCTTTCCCAATTGAAGATCAAAGGGTATTTCATTCTGATAAAACAAAATACAAAATTAATAATTTAAAGTAATATTTATATTACATAAATTTCCCCCATTTAAAGCAGGGTGGTATACGTAGATAGTCAACACAGTTTTAATAACTTCACTACTATGTAATTCAATGCAAAGATTGTATCATTTCACTTCGATTCATACATGTGTGACCTGCTTGAGTGATTTGGAGAAATTTAATGAGGCAACTAAGAAAGATTTTGGTTTATATATGACAGTGGTTTTCAACCTTTTTTGGGGGGACCACAGACGCCTCTGAGACGTTGATAAAAGATACGAACATCTCTCAAGCCCCTCCTCACCACTCATAAAAATTCAGAAATACACACACATTTATACATGCACGCAAGACAACATTTTGCCCCTAGTGCTATATTGGTATGTTGCCATGAGCCATGTCACAAAGTATCACAACATAAAAGCAATTCTGAGCAGTTTTGTTTCATCAGCCATATACATGGCTGATGATCATGGAATGATCATCTTTAACATCCAATTTATTTTGACTTTTCATTTTAATTGCAACTACTAAAAATTTTGATTTAAGAGCTATAGCAACAACTGCAATCAGGACACCCATACCAAACTTTGCCTATTTATGATCAACGGCAAAAAATATCATGGGTAAACCAATCGTCTAACCACCTCCTAGTCCTGCTGATTAGGAAAATATTTTAATGCTCACAAAATACATTAAAATCATTCTCTATTAGTTTGGCAACCAATTACGAATTGTTCATTCTGTAAGGATAACATTATTTAATAAAGAAATCCACAAGGGCCGTGATGAGGGTTTGAACTTACACCTGGGATGATCCCAGATGCTGCCTTGGTCGACTGCGCCACAGTACAAGAATTGCAACCGGGAGTTCTACTGATATTCAACAGGTCAGTTCTACTGACCTTATGATTTCTGTGTGTATTGAGGTAAGGGCAAAGAGGTAGAACCGCTTATTGACAGAGCCCAAGTGCATGAGGGAATTGTGTAAAACCCTGGTTAGTGTCTTAGAAGCGCTGCAGGATCCGAGTGAGGGCAGTAAAACTCCCGGTTGCAATTCTTTTACATGCGGTGCAATCGACTAAAGAAGCGTCTGGGATCATCCCGGGCGTAAGTTCAAACCCTCATCACGGCCCTTGTGGATTTGTTCATTTGATGTATCACGCTGTTGTGATTTCTGTGTGTATTATTTAATAGTTTGAATACTGTTTGAATACTAATGAGGGCGGTGATACTCAAGCAACTGCTGAGCCTAGTTCTAGCATTACATGCTTACATGACACTAATCAGGGGTTCTGGGATACCACACACCTGTGATAAACAATTACTACAAAGCAGAACCTTTGTAAAGTTCTATAAACCTTAGACCCAAGGGAAAAATAAAATGCATGTATGCCCCCCTTAACCCCCACACAAAGTATTCCTCACTTTAAAAACTGCAATTTCCTAATTTCTGTCAGTGATGCCAAAGCTGACTTTTTGTAGAACAACTGCTTCTTTTCTAAAGGGGTCCAAGTTTTTTTGGGCATAGGCTTGTCAATATATACAGTTCTGAAGCTGCTTTCATGTCCGTCAGCATCTGTTAAAAATATAAATTATAGTTAATCAAAGATATTGTAGTCACATGTGACAAAAATAAAATATACCTACAATGTTGTTTGACGATATTATTATAGATGAAGGTTCAGTATCTTGGCTACATATACCAGCATATCTTATGATGTCAACAACATGAAATAGTCTTAAAAATCTAATTCCATTCTTATATCTCAATTTTCTTCTTTACAACACTGTTTTCTTTATACAGTGGTACCTCACTGTATAAAGTGAATTAGTTTAAGAATGCCCCTCTTTACAAGCTTTTCGGGTTACGAGCCCGATTTCTTCGGAAAATTTGAATTGGATTACGAACTTTACCTCGGGATACAAGTTTGTTGATACCCGTATGGCCAACCTAGCGTGTGGTGGTACAGCAATCGCGCATCAGTTTCCCAGTGCCTCCTGCCTAGTGACTATCCCCGCCTGAATTCTTTGCAAGGGTTTACAGTTTCTTTTCGGATTTTTGGCTATTTGAACATAAAAGTTGCTACTGTATTATATATCTTGCCATGAGTCCCAAGAAAGCCAGTGGTAAGGTTCAAGGCAAGAAAACACATGAAAGAATGAGCATAAAGGAAAAACAAGAGATCATTCGTAAACATGAAAATGGTACACGTGTTGAACTAGCTAGGCAGTATAACAAATCTTCAGGGGAGGAGGAGGCAGTAGAGGATGTCCCTTCCTCATTAATTAAGAAAATGTGTGCAGTATGGGAAGAACCGCAAAGTTTTGCTGAAAAGTCACCCAATCATCGGGCTGTGGGGACGCTAAGCCCCGAAATCTTCAAGATAACCTCAGGATATTCCCCCTTGCTTGAGTCACTAACTTTACTTCTAAGCTTATATGTAACAGAATAAGGAAAGAGGGAGTTTCCTCAATTGGTTGAAGATGGACTATTGTGCTACCTATATATAAACTAAGGAAAGACTATAGCCATGCATCTGAATTCCACATCACATCACATATAGCCAATGTTTATGCTATATTGAGAGAGGAGTGGATTTTTTCTTTTTAAACCTATCTTTATTCTTCTTGTTTGCTGTTAACTTCACTTCAAGCGAATTCATGCAGCTTGGAATATTCCAGGAAAGTATCCCTGGCACAGATCAAGACTCTGAGGTACATTATATTTTTGTGGTTTCATTATATTCACTGGTGTATATGTTGTAGCTTCTTAGGCACGGGTGACAAGATACTGGCTACTTGAAGCCAAGCGCTTATAAAGAAAAGAAGTGAGGCTGGCTGATACAATACATGTTGTACCAGCCAGTACACCATACTTCACCTGATCTTTATGCAAGTGTTTAACTAGGTATGGACACCAGGCTGGAGCTGCATACTCTAGGATTGGTCTCACATAAGTGGTATACAAGGTCCCAAATGATTCCTTACACAAGTTTCAAAAAGGCAGTTCTTATGTTGGCCATTCTAGCATATGCCACTGATGACATGCTTTGATGTGGGCTTCTGGGGACAAGTTTGGTGTGATATTTTTCTATTTCCATTCTATAACAGATCTTTGTATTTGACTCTTGTAGGATTTCACCTCCCAGATGGTGCATTGTGTTCAGCCTCCTGCTCCCTTCACCTAATTTCATTCCTTTACATTTTCCTGAGTTAAACATACTGTGAGTGAATGAGTGTGTTTTCCTGACTTTAGTGCAGATGCTCTGCAATGTGCCACTTAAGTCAATATGTCTAATCTTAAACATTCACATTACCTTCATACAAAGTACATTTTCTAATTCTCAACTTACCTGTAATTTGTCGTGACTCAATTTTAACAGGAATGTCCCACTCCTTATCAAAACTTGGACCATAATTGTCAGCTAATATCTTCAAGGCACCAGATGATATGACAATATTTGCTTGATATTCTGTAGCCAGATACTTAGCATTCTGGTCCTCACTCACTGAAATATAACATTTTAATAACTTTTCTGTTCTCAAATATGGACATTATTCCAGTATCACACAATTCCAGAATTAGTTGCATTAAAATGATAATGACAATGATACCAAATTGAAAAACCCTGGACGAGAATTGAGGTGACAAAGTTGAAGAGAGTATACACTTTTCAGAATTTCCGAGTGCACCCGTGAAACGCTGGGGCCCACTCAGCCTAGTTGAGGGCTGGCGGAGTGGGGCCGCCAAAGTGTTAAATTATAAAACAAAAAACAAATACATGGAAACTAACCTGGAGTTTTGAAAAGGGTGTTCTTGGACTCGCTTGTTTCATCTTGTGCTGGAGGTTGATGTTTTGATACAGATTCATCCAGTGGAAGTATGACTGCATTATATTGCCTTCGAGGTTTCATCAAGTTTATGCTACCCTAAAAGAAACCTTGAGAATAGTTTAATGTGATAATATTAATGATGACAGTAGACCTTATTCAAAGCATTTTTCTGTTCAGTATCATTTTATTTCACAACTACCTGTAGCACAATCAGATGCATTTTGGTAAAAGTTATATTGAAACAAAAATTTGGCCATTTATATTTTTATACCCGATTCTTTAAGAACTTCCCTTATTTGAGTGAAATTTGGTCAATTATGAAGGAACGCAAATAACAACAGATCACCAGAGCCAATTAGAATGTTTATGAAGGTTAGAGACAATGGAAGGCAAGGATTTAAAGACCTACACTTGTCAAACATATTTCAAATGTATAAAAAGTACTAAAGACTTAATTATGTCACAAAATAAACTGTTAAATGTGAGTATCACTCCATTAAAGAAAAATTAGGCTTTCTATAAAAATGTTTGATACCTGATATATGTTCAATTTATTTTATATCAAAACTGCATTTGGTTCTTGTGAAAGCTATGCATGCACAACTAGTTTCATCAGTAAGTCTACCCCTATAATTACACTTGACAAAGTTCTTCACTGAAAACAATGACTTGCATGAATGTGGCAATGATAATGCTGTTAATACAGTACTGTACTGCCATTTTCAAACATGAAAGTTTCAGGAAGGGAATTCCAGAGTTTCAAAACAATTTTCCACAATTTTCTGCATTAATCCAGTGATTAACCGACCTCTTATAATATTTTTTTAGTTCAGCTCTTAAATAATCAAATTTTTCCTCAAAATTGATGACAAATTGTCATCATGGGACATGATGACAAAAAAAAATTGCACATACTGTACTCCCTTAACACACCGAGTAATATTTAAGTTTTGGACAAACAAATGGGGGCTATGCACTCGGAAACAAAATTACAGTATTCTTACCAAACTTAGCAGGTGGCCAACATGTGTGAAGCAGAGAGAGCTGTATCTTCCAGTTGTGTCTTGTGGGCAAATCGGTATTTGAAGTTCATGAACATAAAATCTCTTGTACCTGGAGCTTCGTTTACACCGGTGCTGAAACACATATCAGAGCATTTGGCATTTGCATAGTAATGGATTAAAAATATATTATAATAATTTAAAAATAAATGAGTGATAAATATAAAGATAAATAATTTTAAAGTTAAGTTACTTTGACCTTCTTAATCATTTATATTTGTCTATCAGCAAAATAAAATAGCAACAATATCAGGAATTTGCATATGGAGTTCTAAGTTAATATGAGTGTTTCTATGTTAAATATCTTAATTTACTCACTCAAATAATTGGAAGGTTTGGTTATATACAATAAAGCAAAATTTGTGTTTATTGATACATGTTGTATTTGATGACAGGACCAGAGTTTAATAATTGGGCTCGAGTGGTTTCTTGTCATCTACTGGTGGGAGTGGAATCTCTGTTGCATCAGCAATGCCTTTAGTGTGTGTGTTTTTGATGAATTCCATGATAACAGTGTTCTTGGATATTTATTTGTACCTTAGATCTGCAAGTACAGTACAGTATAGATACATCATTTGTTGTAGGTCAGGGTATTGCTAAATTTATAATCTCTGGTTTAACAAGTATTTCCAAGCTCTCAAGGTTAATATATTTGGGATTTGAACATAACCTTTCAAAAACTTATGATATAAACCTTTCACCACTGTGCAGGGACTGGGATCTTTGTTTACAGATATTTTCCCATGTTAAGTTATATCTTATTAGTTCCGTGTCCAGAACCATTTTGTTTTCGTTGCTGCATTCATCTGATGATTTCAAAGCCTAGTTTCTTTTCTTAAATTTGTTTCAATGGTTAGCTCATTTTTTATTCTCTGGGTAGGTTCTGTATGTAGCTCCCCTCAGCTTGTGACACTGTTGCTATAACCTCATTTAACATGCAGGCTCCTATTACAATCTCTGCCCACTGGCTGCAAATGGCATTCCAATGATTGTCTTTCTCTCTCTCTCTCTCAAAAAAAAAAAAAAAAAAAAAAAAAAAAAACAGGAGAGCATATGAGGCCCACAGATCAACTCACGACTGAGATAAGTTGCCAACAACTCTCATGAGAGAAGTCTTTGGAAAACCATAACTTACCAAACTAAAAAAAAATTAACCTGTTAACTGTTCTCAACCAACACGTCACCCTCCCTGCCACCAGGTGCCACCTAGCCACATGTGAGAATTCGGTAAGGTGGGCCCTTTACTTTCCTGTCTGGATTGGTTTTCAACAGACTGTTCCTGCATGGGACACCGATTTATCATTAAGTTGGATAGCCTTCCTTTTGGACTTCAGTCCTAGCACTAGGGATACATGATATGTATGTTTCATGAGTGCGTAAGCTAGTCTCATTCAGTATTCTCCGATATCTGCACAGTTTTGGCATGTGTTTCGGGGTTCCCTTCTCTAGAGCCACAGGTGAAGTTCAATAAAAACCAGAGTTATCTTCTGAGGATTTTGGGGTTCCTCCTTTGGGTAGACTCCTCTTGAGCCAGCTGCATCTAAGGAATTGTTGCAGAGCTTGGTTGCTGTTGCAGTAATTAGTGCAGTGTGTATTTGTAGTGCATGTCCAACTCATGAGGGCTTTGGATTCTTGCACCATTTGCTGCATCACTGAAGGGTAGTATGCAGTGATTTTCATTGTTTCCACTATTAATTACGCTTACTCATTGTTAAAAATAATGGGCTTCTATATAGATGATGAGTCACAATAACGTGGCTGAAGAATGGTGACCAAACCACACACAAGAAGAGGAAAAGACGATGACGTTTTGATCACAAACTATTCCCATTCTCTCTCACATTCCCATTCTTACTCCTTTTATTTCCCCCTTACACCCCCTTATTTACACCTTTTCTTTCCGTACCTTTCGCCTTCCTATTACCTTCCTCTAAGATTTCCTCCTCCTCCTCGCCTCTCTCTTGCACTACTTAATGACCGTGCCTCCCTCCTCTCATCACAATCGACTTGATAATGATCCAGGACGGACCAAAACGTCGTCGTCTCTTCATCTTCTAGTGTGTGGTTGGTCAACATGGAGCTTCTATGTTTGTCAGCCACAAGTGCACATTCTCTCATGCCTGACTAAGCCATCCAAAGTCGCATTCATTCAAGACAACCCCTCCACATGTGTCAAGGGTTATTTGTTTATTTCACTTTAATTAAAGTTACCAATATTCATCATTTTGATTCTGATCAAAATTATTATTTATTATTTAATTAATAATTAATTATTTAATTATTTATTATTATTTATTTAATTATTTGATATTTATCTGATTATTTAAACTAGTACTGTTATTCTATTTAATTAATTTAATAATTACCACACTTTTACACAGCAATAATAGACAATTAAAGCTACACATACTTTGGGCCAGCAGACCAGACAAAAAAAAAAAAAAGTATTTAGCATCATGTTAAAAGAAGTTTGGAAAATATTGGTGTACAGGATGTTTTCATAAGTTATAAGTACAGTATATTGTTACTCACCTGTACATATTCATTTACATAATTTTGCACAATATCTGGAACTGTATTGTAAGCTGGTAGCTGTGCCCTTGCAACCTGTTGTGAGAACTGCATGAAACAGTTTTGTTCTTCATATACACGATTTTGCAGTCTCTGAAAGAAAATAAATAAATAAATAAATTAGTTTTTTATTATTATTTACATATAAATTATAACACTTTAAATCTAGAAATGGTTTGATCACACGGCAGCAATCAAGAAAACTATTCCTGGACCCGCGGTCCATGATAGGAACAGTGCTGCCGATGCTGCTGCTCGTATAGTAAAACATGATATTTTTCAGCTGTAGCCAGTCACGTGAACTTTTATTTATGCGTTCCGCTGAAGCAAAAATGCATCATCCTTCATTTTGTTTAGAACACAGTATGGGGCACAGCATATCAGAGGACCATCCAAAGATAATTTCAACCAGCTATCACTCAAGTCAATAATTGCTCTACTTCTAAGAATTTTCACTATGCTTTACACATTACTTAACAGAAAAGTATAAAGGGTATGTTTCTTTCTTTTCACAGTAACATTCACCAATAATGTGTGCACATTTCCATATGTTTTATTTTTATTGATGTTGAAAACCAAATGAAGAATGTTAAGATACACTTGAGAATATTGAAATGTTCATCAAAATTTGTATATTCAGCATCATTATCGAAACTATTATAAAATTACTTTTTATTTTGCATCTATACTCTAGCAAATTAATTTGCAAACATTTTGACACAAAATTTATACAGGGTAGTAATAAAAAAAATAAAATGTTTATACTCCCCTAACATATTATTATTATTATTTTTTTTATTACTACCCTGTATAAATTTTGTGTCAAAATGTTTGCAAATTAATTTGCTAGAGTATAGATGCAAAATAAAAAGTAATTTTATAATAGTTTCGATAATGATGCTGAATATACAAATTTTGATGAACATTTCAATATTCTCAAGTGTATCTTAACATTCTTCATTGGCATATCTTTCCCGTCTGTAAATGTTCCTGGCATCTCGGAAACCTGCTCAACGACACTTAAAATGTTTATACTCCCCTAACATATTATTATTATTAAGTGTCGTTGAGCAGGTTTCCGAGATGCCAGGAACATTTACAGACGGGAAAGACATGCCAATGAGTCGAAACGTTAAGGTCTTAAATACAGCATCCACAATGCCTAAGCCAGACATATTTCACAATAACTGATAAATAATATTATGAATATTCTTAAAGAAAATATTCTCCTCTTCCCCATCATGTCCAGTAAATATATATTAATCTATGAACAGAGGTAAGGAGAGAACAAGTGTCAGTGGTGGGATAGGATTTTTTTTTTTATTATTATTTTCTACCACAGACGTGGCCACACATTTACAATGCTAACCAACATATATACATTTTCTTCTGTCCTCCATGGACAGGGTTAGAGATGTGTTAAACATATAGTTCAAGGGTTTATTGAACAATGGGATAGGAATGAGAGGAGAGAAAGAGTTGGGGGGGGGGGAATAGAAGGGGTGCATAGCTGCAGGTTGGCAAAACTGGAATTTGAGGTATCAGTGTAGGCATACAGTGGACAGGTGTAAGTTACAGTGGGTGTAAAATGGTGGGCGAGTGTGGGTATGGTGGGCGAGTGTACTCACCTAGTTGTGCTTGTTGGCTCTTTGGTTCCACCTTTCAACTGTCAATCAATTGGTGTACAAGGTTCATGACCCTATTTGGCTTTTATCATATCAACATTTGAAACGGCATATGGAGTCTGCCTCTACCACACCACTTCCTAGTGCATTCCATTGCTAACTATTCTGACACTGAAAAAAAATTATAATGTTTCTGCGACTCATTCGGGCACTCAGTTTGCACTCGTGTTTCCTTGTTCGTGCTCCACACATGCTAAGTAGTTCGTCTTTATGTACCCTGAAATGAACTTACCGAGTACATTTCAAATTCCAGTCCATCAGCTGCAGTTACGGAGGCCCTCATCCTGAATTTGACAAAAGCACGAAGGTAAGTCTCGTGTTCATCGTGATTAAGGTTAGACTTGTATGGGATTGCAACAGGACACTGCTTCTTGAGAAAAAAACCCTGCTGCTTAAAACAGAGGTCCACCTGTAAAAGTAAGAATGAATACTACAAAAATATGGGCATCACATGAAATGTACACATCATCCTCACACACAGTACACTTATGCTTCTTATATATAATTGCTAAATATTTTAATTCAGTAAAATGTTTACAAAATGTAAATGACAACTATTGGAGAAGTATGGAGAATACTCAAAACTAATATGACCAGTGATCTAAACAATATACAGTAGTAATTAAAAACATATTCAATAAGATCTACCTAACAGTCCTTCAGTCTCTACCTGGTTGGGTAGAGGGTGGGATGGGTTCCTAGATGGGAAAGGGTGGGGGGGAAACTATCTATGACCCATCTGCCAACATTCCAGTACAAAGTTCACCAGAATTACCAAAACACATCCTGTCAAACTAGACCATTTCTGGGCTAAAATAATGGCATTACTCATATCAAGTATAATTATAAAAACAACTGAGCACCGACTATCCTCACTTTTTCATTACTAAATCACCAATAGAAACTGAAATATAGGTTCCACAATGAAACAACAATAAGCAGCTTCTACAAAACAGTCAGATGTTTATACCAGAGTAACAAAATCTCATAATAAAACCATGAACTTTTTTTATATGTTTTGCCCTAACCAAAAAATTACAGCCAAACAAAATATTCTAGTCCATAACATATAAAAGGCATACTATACTCTACATTAACAAAAAGTTGGACTTAAACTTATGAGAAGCATCTTTCCGAGTAGATAAATTTCACTTTGTTCATGATCTATGTATCATGCGGAACTGACATATGGCAGTAATACCTTACAATGTTTTTTAAATATCTCCGAAGGTATGTTACTCCTAAGCACCTTTATTTCCTAAAGGTATGTTGTAGTCTCTTAATGAAAGAAAACACACACATCAACATGGAGGCAAGGCTAACCTATGCTGTAAAATATCAGGATGCTGTGCCTAGAAAAAGAATCAAGAAAAGCAGGCTTCAAAAAACAGAATACCTTCCATGCCTTGACTATGCTCCTAAGGTAAGGAAGCCAAGAAAAATATTTACTATTTGGGCCTGCAGGATCGTAATGTTAGCTTCTTGATGACTCCTTTCTAACCGTCGGTTGTCTAATGAACCGACTCATGACCTATTTTCCATTATCATATCTACTACATATTTCTCTCTCACACATACATACATCCTCAGGATGCAGTCCATAGGAGCTGTCTGACTCCAAGGTACATATTTACTGTGAACAAAGGCATTAAGTGAAAGGCACACTGCCAATTTGTTCCTGCTTCAACTGGGAATCAAACCCGGACCCTTAGAACTATGACCATAGAATGCTGTTCATTTAGTTGTGAAGACAATTGTGATCAGCAAATGTGCAGTAAAACTAATTCACTTAAAATTTCCAGTTTTCCATATTACATTTTCTGATATGTAGGGACCACAAAAGACATTAGTCTAATCATCAGACATGTTACTCTACTTCCACATCATACAACATACAAGGTACGTACATCTAATATATCCATCATAATTTGACATCCATACCTCGACATATATAAGGTTACTACATTTTTACCAGGAACTTTTTAACCTATTCATAGTGTCTTTAATATTTTCCTAATCTATCCTCTTCTGTTCCACTGGCTCATCATAAAGTGCATTCACATTACATTTTCTTAGCACCTTCCACTGAATATTTTTAACCTTTGAAAAATAAATAATTATTCTATACAAAGTCATTACTACTTTCTCCCAAACTCCTCATTCTTGACCTTTTTTATTCCTAACTATTTACACCTACTCTATCTACTTTATCTCACAACACTTGGCAGATCTTGCCGCAGTAGTCTTTTCTATTCATTCCATTTCTTTTCAATAGCTTGGCATTTTCACTGAACCATTGTGGACCCATCTTACCTACAGTTATTACTAGTACATTTCCTACAGCTTTGTCTCACCAATAATAGACACCAATATTTTACCAAATTTCCCATTAAATTTTAAGCATTTTATCCACCGTCTTCCCGACATTTAAACACTTTCTCTAGTTGGAAAAAAGACATCTTTCACTTATCATAATTTTGCACACTACTTCATACAGATTTGACTACAAAATCTTCTCTCATTACCTTTGCATCTTTCACACCACATTTAAATATTCTAATTACAAATTTATAATCAAATTAATTTGCTCCATTTCCTCCCATTCCCTTTGCCTCCATGTATACCCATGTATGAACCTATATTCAAAGTTGTCACGATGGGTCAGAATGTGGATCACCAGGAGCTGAAGTTCTTGAATGACTACCATCGAAAAACATCATGGGCACCAGTGTAAACCCACAAGGAAGAGTCCAAAAGTAGTTTAAAGTGTGTAACGTGAGACCCCAACCATTTCCCGAACCTCAAATGGCTGGCAGTCAGAATTATCCAATTAGAAAAGGAAACACCACATTACAATGTGAAGAAATGTTCTCAAGATACTATGAAAACTAAGTTTGAAAAAGTAAAATACCATAAAGATACATACGTATACTGTATACAACATACCTTATGATCCAAACTACGTGTACTTTTTAGTTTATCTTCTTGCTGGTTTTTCACAACTGCTGACTCCGCCTTGTCTGCCGCCTTGTCTTTCTTCTCCCGTTGCAACTGAACCTAAACAAATTTCAATTTAAAGTTGATGCTCATTCCTTTTTTTTTTTCTTTCTTTAATAAAACTGTAAAGTTCTAAATTTGTCTTTCAAAGTTAGTTGAAGAGGTTAGGGGATTGTCCTCTCCAGCAAAGTCATACAGCATTTATCATCTTGTTGAAATCAGTACAGTAATGATAAAATCTGGAAAATTAAACACCCACCCACAAATATGAACTGACAGGAAGTGACAACATTTTGGTCTGTCCTGGATCCTTTTCAAGTTGTGTAATAATGACTATAATGATCCAGGACAGATCAAAACATCATTTCCTTTTTCATATACAGTAATTCATATGATATTTGTGGATTGCGTGTTTTTCAGCCATGTTATTGCAGCTTACTCTCCACACAAAAGCTGGAAGCTTTGTAACAATCCAGATACCTCTAGGCAAGTGGAATGCATTGAAAGAAGAGGTTGTCAAAGCTATTTCCATCCACAACTTTAAAAAGAAATATGATGAAAATGTTATTGTTGAGAGGGGTAATAAAGGGCTAAATTTCACTTCACTGTAATCATTGATAGGTCAGCACTGAACTCTATTTGTTTATAAAGCCTAAGGAAAGTAATGTACATGATGCCTGAAATTCTTTTCATACTAATAGCTTCATTACATATGTATTTATGTAACCGATTTAACCTCTATCATCTTCTTTTGTACATTTTTTAATTATAATTTATTATTATATACATACACAATTGTGGATAATAACTGAAGCCCTCCTACTTTCCCAGCAGGCATTACTCGGTCTGGTTTCCCATTGTCATTGTTCATTGTTTCCCTGTTTGTCTTATCAAGGCCAAAGGCCCAGCTAGGTCAAAGACTGACCATCCTAAGGATGCAAACATCAACAGTCATTTAACTTCTAGGTACCCATTTACTAAAGCATCACGAGTAAGAAAACATGCCCAAACATATCACCCTGGCCTGAAAACAATTGTGGCTCCAATTGGTTGTGAGCCGATTGTACTAACTACTGCACTGCTACTGCATGTAATGAAATGTATCTCTTCTGGCGATTGCATTGGTCAACCAGACCGTGCTGGTCTACTAGGCTGCGTTAGTCTACTTCTTTTTTGTAATTACGGTGTACTAACAAGCAATCTCTAAGCCGAGCAGGTCTTTGGTCTTTGAGCTGTGTTGCCCTGGCAGTTGCGCTAGGCTTTTTTTTTTTTTTTTTGAGATATATACAAGAGTTGTTACATTCTTGTACAGCCACTAGTACACGTAGCGTTTCGGGCAAGTCCTTAATCCTATGGTCCCTGGAATACGATCCCCTGCCGCGAAGAATCGTTTTTTCATCCAAGTACACATTTTACTGTTGCGTTAAACAGAGGCTACAGTTAAGGAATTGCGCCCAGTAAATCCTCCCCGGCCAGGATACGAACCCATGACATAGCGCTCGCGGAACGCCAGGCGAGTGTCTTACCACTACACCACGGAGACTGCTGGTTGTTGTCTTGGCTGTGTGATCTTGGCTGGTTCCTGCCAAATGCTTTTGCTGTGAGGGCATTTCAGAGGATTCTATGGCCAAGATTGCATTTTGTGCTTGACAGCTTCTGAGCTCAGTGTCAATGTGGCATGGGTATGCTTCTTCAGCCTTTTGGCTTATCCTTTTGTCATTGCTAGACTAATGGGTCAGCCTTGGTCATACTTTGTTTTCTTTTATGGGTGGGTCTCTCTGAATGACTAGCTTCCTGAACCCTTAAATGGCTTCAATCCCTATCTGCAATTACCCCCTGTGCTTGAATCGCCAAATGCAATTCTTTACATTATTTCTGTGAGATAATTTTTTATCATGCACACTATAAGATGGGACTTTTAATTAGCCAAGCCATTTAAGGATTAACTGAGGTGTCATAATGGTACAACATTGGGGAGCTATTGATGAGGCCCTCCTAGAAATCCATTGAATGTAATGATATGCCTCTTCCTGATTTATAACATTGTAGCTCCCAGTGCCACCCTGTTCCCTTCTTAGCCATGGGAGTTGGTGGTTTATCTCCTAGGGTGGTTCACGAATGGGTATGAGAGAGAACAATCTCTCCGCTCGTCTTGTACTCTATGGCTTCTGTGCAGTTCTGTTCTGTGCATGCCGTGCACTGAGCATTTGTATTCCCTATTTCAATCTAATATTTCACCCAAGTTCAATCCCTGGACAAGGAGGATTGTTTGGGGGCGCTGATCCTTAGGAATTCATGCCTGCTCACCCAGCAGTAGTTGGGGACCTGGTTATAAACTGAATGGTGGGTCATGTTCCAGGAAAAACCTGTAGGATAAGGTTTAAGATGAACTAAGGGCAGGAAAGCCTTTCAGCCTGCTAACAGGAATCAGAAGTTGTTTGCTTCTATACCACCTATGTAAAAAAAAAAAAAAAGTTATTCCCACTGCCATAGGACATCTCTGTAAATCATTCTTACCTTTGCTATTCTATTCCAAACTTCATCAGAAAAATTAATGATTTTAGACACATTGGGGTCTTTAGAAACATAGTTAGGGATGCCTGATTCATCTGAGGCAAACAGACTTGAATGTTCTCGTAGTATGTCAAGATGTATGAATGGATCATTTTCAGCAACTGGTACAACAACTCTTGATGGTGGCCTGAAAGGAATAAATTATATTATATTATATATATATATATATATATATATATATATATATATATATATATATATATATATATATATATATATAAATAATCATTAATAAAATGCTGTATAACTAGATACTGTATTAGCAATAGTCAAGGGATTGTGTAAAGTATCACTGGTTCACCAATACTGTATTGTAATGGCATACCCAATGACAAATGGAATAAATAACCAGCATTGAATGTAATGAATCGCCATTTTCTGGGCGAGTCCCAGAACTTACCGGGCTAATATGTATGTACTGTACTATATTAGACCATGGCATCAGTCAATTCGATTGGAGTTCTTGCCTACTGGGTACCACGAGCCAGAACCTGGCCCCCCTCAGAGAGGCACCAGGAGCAATGGTCTATGGAACCCCACCCCTCCATGTGGTTAAAAGCATTTCATGTCTACCATCGACCAGGTTAGGCATTCAGAAAGGTAGGCGTCCCAAAACAAACTCCACCTGGTTAAGCATTGCTACCGAAAACCGAACTATCAAGCAGAACTCCTCAATTCGAAAACAAGCAAACAAGCATGACATTACAACCGCCACCGTGCCGCTGTCTGAACAGATATGGAATGCTTCCAACCACGTGGAGGTTTCTATTGGCCTTTGCTCATCATGCCACTCTGAGGGAAGCCAGGTTCTGGCTCGTGGTCCCCAAGGAGGCAAGCGCTTCAATTGAATTTACTGATGCCACGGTCTAATAAATACATATCAGCCCAGTAAGCTCTGGGGAGTTGGAGGGGCTCTCCACAGAAAATATCCTTAATCTTAAAATTAAATATGCTCCCCATATCCCAAATAGGTACAAACAATACATACTGTATTATGAATTACTGTACAGTATAATGTGTTCAGATAGCATACCATAAACCTGAATACTTATCCAATATGTCAATATTCTTCACGATTCAAGCAGGCTTACAATACATTATGAAATATCTGTACTGCTAGTTTAAAATGTAAAAAATACAAACCATTCATTCCTGGACATGTGACTCATGTGTTGTGAGTGCAGTGGTGATAGTTACTGCAGTAGTGGTAATCATGTTGATGGCTCCAGTGGTAATTGCAGTTACTGTGGTTATGGTTGTAGTGACGGTGTGATGGTTAGGGATGCAGCTGTGTTAAAGGTGCGTACCCATCAATGTCTACAAGGAGCGAGATCTAGCAATTTAGGCCTTGCCTCCCAGCTATTTCTACCTGGAAACTCTGAGTTCGGTTTCAACTCCTTTTGACCATGTCGTAGCTCAGTCGATTAAGGCAGCGTCTGGGATGCTCTCGGACGCTAGTTCGAATCCTTGTCACGGCCCTTGTGGATTTGTTCATTTGATGCATCACGCAATTGTGATTTCTGTGTGTAATGAAGTAAGGGCGAAGAGGGAGAACGGCCTATTGACATAGCTCGAGTGCATGGGGAGTTATGTAAAACCCTGGGTTTGTGCCTCGGAGAGACTGCAGGATCCAGTAAGTTCAGTAGAACTTCTGTTTCAACTCCTTTTGACCATGTCATAGCCCAGTCGATTAAGGCAGCGTCTGGGATGCTCTCGGACGCAGGTACGAATCCTCGTCACGGCCCTTGTGGATTTGTACTATTTTGATGACTAATGTTGATGGACTCGATATTATAAAAAACAGTTTAAGCCTTGGGAAAGAGGATATTTAAACTACAGTATAGTTTGTTTTCATTTTGAGTTGGCAAAGTTTTCCTTCACTTAAGTATACTTCATACTCTATATGTAGTGAGACATCTCCTCCCCTTAATATGTGCTCGATATTAAAAAGGCACTTTTGAGAGTGATAAGTACTAGTCTGAAATTAATTCTGGTGCTATGATGGCTGAAATAGTGAAAGGGACTAATGTTCATTTTTCTCTGGAACATGGCCATGGATACAAAGTTCATTTATGTCTACCTTATATTTACAGCTGTATGCTGCTAGATTGGTGTGTCCCAGCCACAGTTTGGTTGGTCATTGTTATAATATCTATTTCTGTTTTTATAGTGGAGTAAATGTTCGCTTGTGTGTTACATTGCAGCTACAGTTTGGTGTTGTAACCCGGTGCCCTACACTGTATTGTCAAGGGATTTCATCGAAATGCTCCTGGAATACAGCATTATTTAGAATAATACTAATAATAATAATACAGGGAACGACTATTTACTTGAAGAGTCCAGGAATAAAGTATATCTTCTCTTCTGTTGGTGCTTGGGAGTCGACGACGATCGAGGGATCGGATGCCATCAATATCTTCTTTGGACCCATTGTAGAAGGTTGTTGTTGTGTTGATTTAGGGGCGACGACGATCGTGGGAGTAGAAGGTTGTTGTTGTTGATATATGGGTGGTATAGTAGATGATTGTGTAGGGGGGAAGACGAGCGTCCCCCGCAGCTGTGTTGACATGTGGGCCCAACTCTCCTCACGATGGACAACGATACTAAATTATCTTTGGAATTGAGCTTATTTATTTATTTATTTATTTATTTATTTATTTATTTATTTATCTACTTATTTATTTATTTATTTATTTATTTATTTATATACAAGAAGGTACATTGGGGGTTAAGAGAGCACATAGAAATGAAGTTGATTTTACATTTTTATAAAGCCACTAGCACGCATATAGCGTTTCGGGCAAAAAGCTTAATGACTATTAATTTACCCCTAATAAATCCCACTGTTTAGTTTACTCACTAACCATCAGTTTTATTTTAGTTTTTGAAACATCAATGCAGGACTAAAGTAAACTTTTAGTGAGTCAAAAAGGTAAAATTTAATACCAATTAACTTTTTTTTTAACAAACCTTCAAGTTCAAGTTCAAGTATGTTTATTGAGATAAGCAATAAATACATCTCAAAGGGATAGAGTAGCTTAGGCTATTTCTACCCCCCTCTACTTCAAGTCCCTCAAGGGGCGCACAAATTCAGTGAGTACAAATAGACATATAACAGTACAAGAATCCCATTTTACATTGCAGGGTAATACAGCAAGTACAGCATATAATTGTTACATTCTTGGGGCAAAATTCTTGTAGCTCCTAAGTATACTGTCTATTATACCATTATCACACATCCAAACAATTTGATGTGGTACACTATTTATTTCCTTATTTCTATATTTTTCAATAAGGTGACACTCTAATACATAATGTTCTAAGGTGTGGGCGTACGGCATACTACATAATTTACACTCCTTATCTTTTTCACTGACATCAACACCGTATTGCCAGATATATTTATATCCTAATCGTAATCTAATGTAAATTGAATCCTTCCAAGTAGACTTTCCTTTACCATAAGTGAAGGACGAATTTGTATTTATTATTGAATAATTCTTAAGTGTGTTACTACTGTCCACCATTGCCATTCTCTTTATCATTTCTTCACCCTCTTGAATCACCTTGGTTCTTGTTTTTATTTGTTTCAAGGTTAACTGACATACAACATCAACAAGAGTTTTTTCAGTGGCTCTCTTCGCTATGTCATCAACTACCTCATTCAACAGTATTCCCACATGTGAAGGGATCCACACGAATCTTACTTTATACCCAGTTTTTTCTAGTCTCTTAACATTCTCTCTACACTCTATCACAATATTCTGATATACTGGGCGTCTGCTATTTAAAGACTCTAACGCTCCTCTGCTGTCAATAAAGAAGCAAGCATTTTTACCACATTTGACTACTTCCTGTAATCCGGCTAATACTCCTTGGAGTTCAGCCTGCGTTGAAGAGACATTGTCAGTTAAGCGGCGTCCAATAACAGTATCTACAGTGCCGATGTCAGTGTACTCCCTGATCAAGACTCCACATCCTGCCTTCCCATCTCTAGCTACTGACCCATCACAATATACATGTAGAGTGTTTTCTGTAGGCAGTTTTCTAATTATACAATCATATGTTGCCCTCAGCTCTCCTATTTCATACATACTTTTTTTCTTATGCAAGGGAGTAATTACTACATCTACATTACAATCCTCCCATGGTGGTGTAAATTTTCTCTTGGGCACAGCAATACACTCTGTAATAACATCATACTTTATAACATTATAACATAATTTATTCATATATACTCTCTTCTTCATCATACACTGTTCACTACTTCCCACCTTTTGAACCGAGAGGATTAATTCATTAGCTCCCCCACCTCTCATTAATCTAATGGCAGAGGCTACATTTATCTCTGAAATTCTATCCCCAATACTCTGCAGATTCAACTCCATCCTCATTATCTCAATCATAGAATTTCTTGGGCATCCTAAGATAATTCTCATTGCTTCATTTTGTACCTTCTCCAACTTGCCCATCCTACCTTTACCAAAACAAGAAATGACAGGTGCAGCATAATCAATAAGAGATCTTACAGTACTCAAGTATAACATTCGTAGCACAGGGACTCCCACTCCCTTTCCACAGCATGCCAAAGCCTTCAGAGGTTGTAATCTCTTCCGACATTGACCCAACCTATTTTATCTTAACCTAGTCGAGGCAATTTAAAACGTGTCTTAGCCTAATCTAAGCTAATATCACTTAATCTAGCGAAATAATATATAATTATTTCATATTACATATCTACACACATTATATATATATATTTTTATTTATTTAGTTATATATACAAGAGTTCTTACATTCTTGTAAAGCCACTAGTAGGCATAGCATTTCGGGCAGGTCTTTAATCCTAATATTCCCCGGAATACGACCGGCTAAATTGTTTAATTAAAATTAACAGGTACCCATTTACTGCTGGGTGAACAGAGGCTACAGTTAAGGATTTGCGCAAAATCAATCCTCCCCAGCCACTAGCAATTATGTAAGACATACATAAATCTGTGTATTTATGTATTTACGTATGTAGCGACCCACCACCACACCCCATGTAAACAAAAGAGGACTTGTTAGCAAGGAAGAGCAGACTAGCAAATGTACAGAAGTTCAAAAAAGTATTCCTGCAGAGGGATATGACAAGGGACGAGAGAATGAGGGCAGCAGCCGCGAGGAGGGAGTGCAAGGAGAAAGAAAGGAATCAGGGAGCCACAACCCCGAGCCCTACTCACAGAGGGGAGCAGGGAACCCTCCACAAGCAGCTCAACAGACAGTGAGAGAAGCACCACCCCCATCCTCTACCCAATAGATGCCCTACCTGTCCCAACCCCTGGTGCCTTCCTAGGGCACCCTCTCCCCACTTCCCCCTTCCCAGGATCTCCCTTCTCCCCCCCCCCAAGCCCTCCGTAATCCCTCATGTCCTCCCTTCAACTCCATCCCTCCTAAACCCTCTAGTATCCCCCACCCTCCTGAGCCCTCCCTTCTCCCCCCCATTCTACTAAGCCCTCCCTTCTTCCTCATCTCCCTCAGCACTCCCTTTCCCCCAACCTCCCCCGCCAAGCCCTCCCTCCTCCCCTTCTCCCACACTCCCCAAAGCCCCCCCCACCGAAGCCTCCCCCTCTCACCCACCCCCAAGCCCTCTTTTCTCGACCTAGTCTTCACTCTGAACGAATCCGACATAAGGGAAATCGGTTTCGAGGCCCCAGTAGGAATGAGCGACCACAGTACACTGGTGTTTGAGTATCTGGTTGAAGAAGGTTTATTGAACTATAGAAAATTCCTAACAGATATAACATGGGAAACAGAGCTCAGGGGAAAGACGGCCCAAGACATGATGGACTACATCACACAGAAGTGTAAGGAAGCAGCAAACAAGTTTGTCCCAGTCCAAAAGGAAAACAATGTAATGAAGACGAGAAACCCATAGTTTAATCAGAGATGTAGGCTAGCTAAGCAGCCAAGTAAAAGGGCACGGAAAAACTATAGAAATAAGAGGACACTTGAAAGCAGAGAAAGATACCAGGGTGCCAGGAATATGTCAGGTTGAGAAGAGAGGCAGAAAGACAATACGAAAATGACATCGCAAGCAAGGCAAAGACTCAGCCTAAATTGCTGCACAGCCACATCAGGAGAAAAACAACAGTAAATGAACAGGTAACGAAATTAAGGATAGGGGCAGAAGGATTCACTACAAACGACAAGGAAGTGTGAGAGGGAACTGAATAAGAAATTCCAGGAGGTCTTCACCTTAGAGCAAGGAGAAATTTCAGAGATAAGAGAGGGAATAGTTAACCAGGAACCACTAGAAGAGTTTGAGATTACCAGGGGGTGGGGGAAGTAAGGAAGCTTTTACTAGAGTTGGATGTGACAAAGGCTTTAGGCCCAGATGGAATCTCCCCTTGGATACTAAAGGTAGGAGCAAAAGCACTGTGCCTGTCACTCTCCATAGTGTATAACAAATCACTGGTGTTACGGCCCTACTGGGACGCAACCGGGTTCTTTTCTGGTGTTATTAGAATTTGGGAATCCGGCCCCAAGTTAGTAGAGGCTTTCAAGGGGTGTGTTCTGTAACACAAGGTAAACTAAAGGGGGAGGGATACAAATGTTTTGATTTATATATATAATTTCACCACCACCATAAATAAATATATAACAATCACACGGGGTTTATGAATACACTATAATATGTACAAGCTTGTCTTCCTCTGAAGACACAGGATGCTCCACGGTGCGCACTTTGGGTAGCCCTGGTTCCTTCCTCCGTGGCCCACGATGAATCCTCTATGATTCTCTCAGCGAATCTACCCTGGCCACAGGCCAGCCAAATCACAGTCCCACTGGGTGCTCCGTCGTGGAGGCCTTCAACCACAGTCCAGCCTGTAGCTGGCAGGTTCCGATCAGCTCCGCTGTGTAGGCCCCTCCACGACCGATACTAGGGTTGCGAGCCCTAGGCAGGAGCCTCATGTGATTCCACTGATCACTCTCCTCTCTCAGCACCACAGTGGCTAGTCTCTTCCACCAGCCAGCCCCGGATAAAGCAATTCCTGCAACCCGTTCTCGCAAATTCGTAAAGTCAATATTGACTTATTAACTACGTGCATAGGTGATATACTAAACATAATAGATACCCCTAAAAAGATTCATAGAAAACACCGACCTTACCTAACCTTGTTAGTATCTTAAGATAAGCATCTTATTGCTTCGTAATTACAATTATTACTTAACCTATACCTATTATAGGTTAGGTAATAATTGTAATTACAAAGCAATAAGATGCTTATCTTAAGATACTAACAAGGTTAGGTAAGGTCGGTGTTTTCTATGAATCTTTTTAAGGGTATCTATTATGTTAAGTATGTTACCTATGCACATATTTAATAAGTCAATATTGACTTATTAAATTTGCGAGAACGGGTTGATTCCTGATACTGCCAAGTCACAGGCAGGCTAACACTCTCAGCAGAGTTTGTCCAGGGGTGACTCACAGCTTCTTCAGAGCAAACTCGTGAAGAGACCTTGGCTGCCTTGGGTAGACTGATCCATCGTCCAATACAGCAGTCCCAGGTCGACTCTGTAATCAGACACGTCATTAATACTGGGACTAGGGAA